AGCTGGCTGCCGCCCTGATTCTGACGGAACTTTCTTTTCTTATCTAGCGAGCTTTGCATGGAAGTAGGTAGAAGCACAAAAGGAAGTGACCGAGCTGCAGGCATGCAACAAACCCTGAATAAGAAAGGAGAGGTGTCGAAGCAAACCTCGGGTCGGACAGCAAGACAGAAACCAAGACGAGACACGAAAGCAAGCAGTGCAAGAAGAGAGAGTGAGTTCCGCGAGTCATGATAGTGGCACATGCATGTAGTTCAAGGAACGGCCAACCAGAGTACAAAACTGAACAAACTTGGCACCTTGAACGATCGAAGACCAAGCTGGAGTACACCGCCTGTGCGGCAGTGGCTTAACTGGTGAACACAAGCTACAGACAAAATCCAGGCCTGACTGGATAGGAAGTGGCCCCCGACGAGACGACACCCTAAAAACTAAACCCGAAACCACCCAAACCCCAAACCCTGAACCCTAGACATGCATGGTACGACTCTGCCTTGCCTTACTTCCATGCTCGCCCTGCAAAAATACCATGTGAGAGTTTCCGAAAATAGGGGACCCTAGTAGAGTACCCTAAATAGCAGGACCCTGATCATAAGGACCCAAAATACTGTACCCCTAATTTTCGGAAAGTCCCATATGGCTTGCGGTAGCATGTGAAACATAGCATTTACGTTGGTAATCATGCAACTAAGTGTTGTATGAGACCCGCCAGAAACCGGAGGTCCTGAAATCCAAACCAAGGCGTAAGCACCAAAGCCTGCCACATGTCATGAGTACCGCGGAAGGCACTTGAACGATGCCAATAACCCCCCAGCCCCGGACCTCCGGTCATCCAAACCAACAAGCCAAACCCATCCAAACCCACACATCCCGAGAATGTCAAATCCCTTTAAACTAAGCCCAAATTCCAAGACCTGCTCATGCCTAAAAAGCCAAGCCCGCATTCAGGGTCACTGCAGCAGCCCGATTGGTTTCAGCTTGGCGGTTTTTGAAACTCAGGACTGCTTCTTTGGAGTTACCTGGGCTTTTAAGTAACCAGGGAGAAAAAAGTATAAACTTTTATTTCATAAGGGTTCCTTTAAGAAAAAAGTATTAAAGTATGGTACTCCAAAGCCCAGTTTCTATTGGCGTTGGATTAAGGTTGAGGGCTGCGGGTCAAAAACGTGGTGTCTAGCGATGTTGGGTGTTGAGACTTCGTGCGGCTTTAGGGCTCGTAGGTGTATACCCAAGGGTAAACGGAGGGACCCGTAATAAGGACCCCTAAGTATATACCCTTATAATATAGCTATTATATACCCATTATATAGCCCATTATGGGGTAGGGGTCCCCATTAAGAGTCCCTCCTTTTCCGCTTTGAGTATAATTACACCGAACTTGATCGCGGGCCCAAGCGCTGCCACTGCCTTCGCAGGCCCAACTCACGAACTCGTCTCCTCAGGATCCCCTTCTTGTGTTCGGGGTTTAGGGTTTAGGGTTTAGGTCTCGGGTTTAGGGTTTAGGGGTTTAGGGTTTAGGGTTGTTTATCTTACCTTTGGTTAGTAGGGAATGGAAGAATGGTAGTAATAGTAGCTATAATTGTACCCCTCTCCTCCATTCCCTACTAACCAAAGAATCCCTTCTTGTGTTTAGGGTTCCCAGACCCCCGGGAGGATCTAGGAAGTAGATCCCCTAATTTGGGGCCCTATACTACGAAGGGTACTTTGTACGAACCCCCATTAAGGGATCTACTTTTTGGATCCGGGTCTGGGTTTATAAGGGTTGCAACGCCCAACCTAACCTTTGAAGCCTGGAGTTTCTACACCTCGGAGTAGTCACAATACTCATATGTTCGTGCTCCTGCTGCTGCAACTGCTACTGTACATTGAAGCAGCATCGAGAGGAAACCATCACCCGGCCTATGAGCAGCAACATGAAATCTCGATGATGCTCATTTTCGGCATCGCATCACCATCGCCATCACCATCATGCCAACATCAGCATCATCACACCCGGAATCCTACAGCCCTGCAAGCCTCACGCGCTAGGGGATAGAAGACTGAGGCTGTTTCGCTGAGAAGCACTCCAGGAAAAAGGGCAGCGAATCACATTAGGCTTTCTGGACTCCGATGACAGCTCTCAGGTTTCGGCATACATGTTTAATCAAGTCTAATCACGTGGAGGGACCTTGTCTTAATCGAATGGAAGTATGTGTATATGTATTGCTTCATACACGCAAACATGTAACCATGGTAGATATATCGATAATCAATTTGCCAGGGATTTTTAGAGTGATAAACAGATGGATGGATAGGTAGATGCACAGATAGATACGCAGATAGGTAGGTAGATTGATAGTAAGCTAGCTCCACATTAAACACTGAAGGCTAAACACCTAAGCTATAAAGCCTTTGGTGATCCCTACACAGCGTGAGATCCTCTGAAGGCTTTTGATCTGACTAACATAAACATGAATACAAAATGCGAACAAATATACGTACAAATTTCAATAAGTAAATCACAACCTCTATGTATGAGTACATAACAATACATATACATATGTATATATATATATATGTATTTATATAGGCTATATACCGGCTTTGATCATTTGAATGGGATACTCCAACTAAAGTAAGGGACTTTGAGGAATCAGGCATATGGTCGAGAGGTCGATGGGGTCCCGACTGACTGCTTGCAAAGCGTCAGCTGCTTGTCGCGGATCTCGCCGGGCTCCGTTCGGGCATCCATGGCTCTGGGTTTGATTTGTGGCTTAAGTTAATTGCTTATTGATTGAGGGCTTTGGACTCACATTCCGTCTCCAATAACGACGGCCCGTCTGCGGGGTTCTTCCGGAAGCAAACAGTTGTCTCGCCGAAGCATCCTACACAGAAGAGTGAGCCTGATCGAGCTTTAGAAAGTATCGGGCTCTACCATGCACCCTGAACAGCAAGATCCTGCGTTTGAACCCAGTGCTTGCTGAAACTCCACATGGGCTTCAAGGACACAGTCCAACGCCCCAACACCCGTGTTCGTTGGGAGGTTTCAGAAACTGAGGGGCGATAAACTCTAAACCCAATTCTAGGAGGTGCTTTTAAAGCCTCTGAAAAATATTAGTCGGTAAGATCCTCTTAAGCCCAATAAGGGGAAATATAAAATGTCCCAAAGCCTTACCTAGTACTCCTTACAAGCGATCAGCTCCAGGGTTCCGCAGGAGACGTCGACGAAGCGTTTCTGCGGGTCTGCTCGGTTCATCCACAGACGGTTTAGGATTTAGGGTTTAGGGTTTAGGGTTTAGGATTTAGGGTTTAGGGTTTAGGGTTTAGGGGTTTTTTCAGTGCTTGGGTTCAACAGTATAGCGTTGCCTCAACAGTTATGGCTTTGGGGTTTGCGATGGGTTTCGTGTTTAGGGCCTATGGGAGCAGGATACACAAGGTATAGGGTTTGGCACAAACTCACGCCCCCCCCCCCCCAATCCAATACCAACACCCCGAAAACACGAGACCTTCAGACTTTGGGGATAAACAAAAACACATTACCCACACCCTTAGGTGGGATTTCGCCTTCAAAGATTCAAACGGCTATGCAAAGGTGCTCTTTGTGCCCTAGTCCAGGATTTAGGGCCTAATATCGGGGCCTTAATAATGCTTATGCTAGAATTATAATCCGGAGCCCGAAAAATAATGTAGGTAATTCTTTCGGGCCCTATACTAGGAACTTGAGTTTTGAGAGCGAGGCCAAACCCTGCTGGGTGCTGCTGAAGGGGAACGCCCATTTGTAGATTGTTCGGTGTCCTGAAGATGAAGGTTGAAGGCTTTGATATAGGGTTTAGGGTTTGGGGTTTAGGGGAGATGGGGTAGGGCCTTTCTACCGAGAGCGGAATTTGAGGGCATATCTCACCAAAATAATGGGACTACAAGGGTGTATGGTCACGTCTCCGGAGGGGGGAGGGTCTGCGGCTGAGTTGCAGGATTTGGGGGCTCGAGTTGGAGGGCTCTGGGATTCTTCAGTGTTTGCAGGATGTTGCGGACAGGTGGTGCAGAGCTCAGAGCTTAGGAAATCGGTATTGAGAAATTCTGCCTACCCTCAACCCAGAGAGCCCAATACCCCTTAATTGAGGAATACACCGTAAATACAGAATCCTATGAAGGCCTTACTAATATCCCTAGGGCTCCAAGTATACTAATACTACCTACTTTGGGGTCTAAAGTCTAGAAATGGTACTTACCTTGGGCTTTTTGGAGCCCCGGTGTATGGGTTAAAGTACATTCCTTACTGAAGGGGCTGGCAACCCCTGAAACTTGAATTTGGCGGATGTCGGATCGTAGTCCCTGTTTTAGAGAGAGCCGAGGGCTTAACTAAGCGGTATACCATCATAAAATCTTATTTTAAGGAATATTCGTAATTATGGAGCACATGAGTATCTATCTCTATATAAATAAATGAATGAATAAATAAATATATATATATATATATATGTCTCTGTGTGTGTGTTATGGGGCTCAAATACTGTGCTCCGAGGCCATGGCTGGCAATGACAGCCACCCGGCGGCAACATCGGAGAACTCTGCGGTGGCCTTGGTAGAGACTCTTTCAGCGCCTACTTGGAAGGTTTTTTTTTTTTGAATGTTTTCCCTTCTGGCTTATATAGGGTTTTCAGGGCTTACTTGGAGGTTCATGGGTGGAAAAATGAGGGGTTCTACGTCCCATAATATGGGTCAGGATTACTGTATATATAGTTGCCCTAGTTATGACTCCACTAATAACTACCAATGAGCTTCCAAGCAGGAGTTTACAGCTTCCTTAAAGGGTTCCTGTAATATCTGGGCCTTCATGATTTTACTATACTTTTGGGTGTATGTCCAAGTATAAGTATAATGAGGAGTCCCAAGCGATAGTATTACGATTTATTGAAGTCACCTATACTCTAAACTCTAAACCCCGAAACCCTAAACCCGTTATGGGTTTGGGATCCTGGTGCAGCGCGTCTGGTTTCTTGCATGGGCTTCGGGAGCGCGAAGCTCCTTCATAAGACACACCCAAAGGTTTGTGCTCGACCCTGACAGCCGACCGGGCCAGTAACCTTCAAACTGAGTTTTAAGGCTATGGGTTTAGGGTTTACAGTAGGGTTTATGGGGCTAACCTTCGAGTTCATAGAGCCGCTATAATGCATCCACAAAACAACAAACCAAATGGGCAGGACAGGCTGCTGTATGCAGGGGCCGGTCGGCGTCATGCTTCCAAGGGCTTGTTGGCCGTAGTGGCCAGGAGGAGGCATCAATTGCGATGCGTGCGGTGGCCTGTTGTAGGGAAGGAGATCGGATGTGGGAGTTTCCGAAAATGAAGAGTACCTTAATTTAGGTTCCTTATAATAAGGATCCTACTATTTAGGGTACTTTTTGGCCCCTACACTAAATCCCGAAAAGTAGCCCTTATAGTCCCCTTTATAGACCCATTGAAAAGGAACCCGATGTCGGCCTCAGCATTTTACGCATGCCCCCAAAGCCCAAATCGGCTTCCTCAGCCCCTTAGCCCGACCCTCGAACCGGTAACCCCAAACCTTAAGCTCACATACTATAGGGGCCTGAATAATTAGAATAGGGTTCCTTTTTAAAGGGGTCTCTAAGGGATGATATACAGGGATCTATGAGGGTACTATGGTTTAGGGGCTTCATAATTAGGATTGGTTGCCGAGGCCCATTATAATAAGGAATCCCCCAAAATGATATAGGCCCCTATAGTATCCTCACAGAACATCGTGGAACACTATGTCGCTGATGCTGGAGAAACCTAGCAGCTGACCGCCTAAGTATGCTACACTCGACACAGTGGCAAATTTCAAGCTGCTGAAGCCGAGTGTCAACATGTCGGTGTGGAGCTGCGGAGGCAGATGTGTGGCTTGCGGCGGTGCAGCTTGCGGGTACTGTGACTGCATCGCAGCCATGCTGGGTTGCGAAAGCTGGGGATGAAGTGGTTGGTGGTTGTGGGGGTGGCCTTGCCGGGAAGTCAGCTGCTCATACTGAGGCCGAAATTGTGGGACACCGGGCTGTTGATAAGGCCCTGGAGCATGTTGAAACTGCTGCTGCAGGACAGGGGGTGCCTGCTGTATCGGGAACTGAGCCTGCAGATGCGGCTGGCCTTGTGATTGCGGCATCTGCCAATTTTGGGGCACAGGCTGTTGGCTTTGCTGCTGGTACACCTGCTGCAATTGTGGATATTGCTGCGGAGGTGACTGCATAAAGTGCTGCTCTTGAAAAGCCGGCTGCATGCCCTGCATGGGAAACTGGGCCTGGTGCGCAGGGGCCTGGGGCGATTGCCAAACAGGCTGTTGCAGGTTCATTCCCACTTCCTGCGGTGGAGCTGCAGGACCCACAGGACCAGAAGCTGACTGTGGCTGTGGCACAGCTGGTGATCGGACTCGAGCTGCGCCTTTCGCCGCAGCAGCCTTCTTCCGGCTGTTCGTCGCCGTGCGAGAAATCCGACGCTTCGAAGATGTGCTGGCCTGCGGCGGCTTCGTGTCACGGCAGAGGTACACCGCAATTTCGCCTTGTAGCAGGGCATTGATGCAATGGCCCTCGATCAAGTATGCGACTGTGACATTGCCACTCGCTCCGGCTGGCGTGGTAATCTCCTCTGCCAAGATCGACTCAATCACCAGCCGGCGCAGAAGCCGAAGAACCTCTAGGGATGTCCCTACCTTATTGGGCTTCCTTTCACGGAGTTTATATGGGATATCCCTATCCTAACTTTTGCTTATGTGCTTCTTTGGGGCCCGAAACCTCCCTGTCACACCAGCCGTTGTTGCCCAGCAGCCCGAAGCCGGGTACGTCTTGCCAGCGAGCCAGCTTCTGATGCTTGGCACCGAGCAAGGCATCACGAGTCGTGTTCAAGGTAATGGGACTGCCACCTGGGTGACCCTAAACCCTAAACCCTAAACCTTAAACCCTAAACCCTAAACCCTGGGTGGTTGTCAAAATTAGGGTCCCTTTTTGGGGTACCCTAAATATTCGGTGCCGTATTATATTAAGGACCCAAGGTAATGGGGCTGCCACCTTGGTTGGGCCTATAATCCCCCAAAGAAGGCCCAAGGTTTCTTGATCAGGGTCCTACATTAGGTACTTCATTCTGGCCCTCAATGCCCCCTAAAGAGCGTAGAAATTAAGAACCTCTTGGAACCAACAGAGGAGCAAATGCAAAACATACCAATGGAGCTAGCCACCATGTGCGGGGAGGCTGCGAACTGCGCGCAAGAACTGTGCGGCGATCTGTGCTTCTCGCGTCACGTTGTCGTGATGAAAGGTTGTTCCACTACGAGCAGCCTTGCAGATGTCGCACACTGCAGGCCCACCTCCACAAACGACCTGGAGAATACGCGAGAATTGAAAAAAATAGAATAGAGTTGGGGTACATGCCACGATCATACAATATACAACTAATATCAGGCACCCCAAGGAATAGTATTGAATACTACCTAATCGCGCAAGCTCCTAGAATCAGCAGTGGTTGGGCTGGTATGCGTCCTAGGCTGAAACCCTCATCTTGGGCACGAAGACTGTTCCGAACACTACTACCCTACCCTACCCTACCCTACCCTACCCTACCCTACTACCCTGCCCTACTACCCTACTACCCCAGCAGCCTGCTTCAGCTCACCTGCACCGCCAAAGTAGCGCGCGATGAGGCTTCTGCGACATTCCCGGGCTTCCAGGTAGCCGACCATGCCCAGCAAGCGCTGAGCTGTTTTCTCGGTGTGTTCCACCGCCTCACATCTGCGAGACCCTAAGACGGATCTAATGGGCTGAAGCTATACCCCAAGGGTCCAAGTAGTCCTTATTCATAGTTTTGATACCTAGAAAGGCCCTAAAGTACTGTAATAGGGAGAACTTGGACCCTCTGGGATAGGGGATTGAGCTCTAGCGTGAGCAAGACTGAAATCCTCACTCGGCTCGGTTTGGGGCGCAAGCTGTCGAGCGAAATTACCTATAGTCTCCGTTGCTTTCGTTTTAGGATCCGGACCCTCAACCTTGGTTATCGAAAGAAAGAACTACTGCAACGGACTCCACACAACCCAAAATCCATAAACTAAACCCTAAACCCCAAACCCTAAAGCCAAAACCCCAAAGCCTAAAACCCCAGCGCTAAACCCTGAAACCCAAACTCTAAACCCCAATCCCTAAACCTTAAACCCTTCCCACCTGATTCCTGTCACCTTGGGCGAGGTTCTGGTGGCGCTTCTTGTCCTGTCAAGCTTCTGTGGCTTGGCGTTTGGGGTGTAGGGGCTTAGGGTTCAGGGCTTGGGGTTTAGGATTTCGGGCCGTTTATTGTTTAGGGTTTCAGCTTCCTCGCTCTTGTGCAACTGGGCCGGGGGGTGCGGGGCGGACTGGTGCGGGGCGGACTGTTTTGTGAAGCCGAGGGATGTAGGCGGATGAGAGCTTTTCCTCGTAGTCATAGAAGACGATGCAGGCGGCACAGCCTGCCCAGCGACGGAAGGGCCGAGTGTCAGCTCTCTCGTAGTTTTCGTCTATCCCTAAGGCGAGTTAAAGATAGTAGTTTTGTAGGTTGGCATCTGGGAGGTGTGTTCTCATAAGATACTTGGAACTTAGGGGAATGACAGTTCAAAACACAAGGATTCGACAGCACTGGGATCTCCTTCAACTGAAGCCCAGACCCAATGAACTTGGGAGCAAGCCCCAAGCCAACAAGGACCCCTAGTAACACAGAAACTTAGATTCTCAACAAGCTGCCATGAACCGTGAAGCCAACATCCTAAACCATGAGCTCTACCTACGGTCGCCATTTGTATTTAGGATCCTATAAGGTAACTCCCAAAAAAAATTGCCTGCAATGAAGACTATAACCACTACCTAAAACTGCAAAGCCCTCAATCCGGAAGCCGCAAATCCGGCAACCGTAAACCCCAGCTACTGAAGCCAGGAATCCTCAAGCCTCGATGGTGCAGAGAACTCGGCTTTAGGGTTCTAAACCCGGAAGCTTGAGGAACTACGGTGGATGATAGAAATCCTGCACTACCCATAATAAGGCATATACCATAATTCCCATAGTTTAGGGCCCTTAGGGTAATGCAGGATTTATATCATCAACAGTAGGTTGCCTCAAAAGGTGGGATGAAGGTAGGTAGGATTACTTGGAGGTTCATGGCTAGTTATAAGTCCGGTTATAAGTAGTGTAACTATACTTATAACCCCTAGTAGGGGACTTACAACCCTACCTATAACTACCCATGAACCTCCAAGTAGGGACCCCTTGCATAAGGATTCCTATTTTGGGATTCTCCCACCTACCGAAAACCCTTTACTAAACCCTAAACCCCAAACCCAAAACCCCAAACCCAAAACCTAAACCCCAAACCCAAAACCTAAACCCCAAACCCAAAACCCTAAACCCCAAACCCAAAACCCTAAACCCCAAACCCCAAACCCCAAACCCCAAACCCAAAACCCTAAACCCCAAACCCAAAACCCTAAACCCTAAACCCTAAACCCCAAACCCGAAACCCTGAAACCCAAAACCCTAAACCCCAAACCCCAAACCCAAAACCCTAAACCCTAAACCCCAAAACCCAAAACCCTAAACCCTAAACCCCAAACCCAAAACCCGAAACCCTAAACCCCAAACCCCAAACCCAAAACCCTATAGATCCCTTAAAGGAACCCTTAAGGATCCCCTATAGATCCCTTTAAAGGAACCCTAAACCCCCCTTCTATCTCACCCTTGGAGCCCTTTGAGACGCGCAGCCCTTTGAGCTCCCGGCGCCCGTCCCTTCCGGCTCGGCCGGCCTCTTGGTAGTAGCCTTGTTTAGGTTTTAATGTTCCTGTAAGGGCTCCTTGAAAGGGTTTAGGGTTTAGGGGTTTAGGGTTTAGGGCTTAGTGGTTAGTGGTTTAGGACTTGGGATTTAGGCTTCTAGTTGGATTCTGTAGGGTGCAGGGTTTTGGGAAGGGTTCAGAACTGCAGGGTTTGCGGTTATAGCCTTCGGGACTGTGACCGTCTTGGCATTAGGTTGTCATTAAGGGGGTTTCAGGCTTCTAGACTTCCGTGTATAGTGTACCGGGCTCAGGTTTTAAGAGGGCTTAGGGCTAGGATTTGCTTTAAGAGGTTTTGGGCTTAAATTGGTTCTAGTGTTTAGGGCAAGTCAACGACAAAAGGTTTAGGCGTCGGGACGTTATCGGGCCACGCCTTTTCCACAACTCAGAGTTGCAAAAGAAACCCAAAGCTCCGGCTGATCTGTATTGACGGTCCATCTTTCCAGCATGTTGAACAGTACTCTCATTGCTCCATGCACAAAGCCCTTAGGTTCATGGGTAGCTACAGTGGGGTTGTAGTATGGGCATATTTGTAGAAACCCTTCTTTTAAAAACATTCAACACTACCCATGAACCTCCAAGTTAGCCCTAAAACCTACACACCACCAAACCCCGGAACTGGAAGCCTTAAAGCCCTGAACCTCATCGCTTCAAGATTTCAACAAGGTTTCTTACAAGCTGATATTTAGGGATTACGGTTGACGGTTTAGGGCTTCGAGTTTAGAGCTGCTGTTTATCAAGAAGTGCCGATGTTGAAAACGGTCAACGCCATGATCGAGGCTATCATTCCCCCAGGTCTGGAATCTGAAAAATCCTGAACCCTAAACCCCAAATCCTGAAGCCCTTAAACACGTTGCAGTGAGATGACCGATGGCCTTCAAGAGACTCGACCCTAAACCCGAAACTCTAAATCCTCATCCATTCCAAGGTCCCAAGCACAAAACTCTAAACCCAAAGCCCTAAGCCCTAAAGCCCTAAAGCCCTAAAGCCGATGGCCTTCAAGAGACTTGGGGAAGGAGTGGTGGATCACAAACCGGACCTCGGGCTTGGACTCTGGTACTGTTGATGATGTAAGTCTTGCATTACCTTAAGGACCCTTAACATACCCTTAACTATGGGAATTATGGTAGATTCCTTATTCTGGGTAATGCAGGATTGATATCATCAACCGTATCTTCCGTCTAGGTCTTAACCCCTAAACCGCAAGATAGACTGTCTGGTGCTTAGTAGTGAATGGGGGAATGGATCCCTGTAGCAGTCCCCATATAATCCCCAGTACTGGTCCCCATAACCCATTCTCCATTCCCTACTAAGAACCTTTATAGTGCCCTTATAGTAGCCTTATAGACCCCTTTAAAGGAATCCTGAACGGACCCCTTTGAAAGGAAGCCTTAAAGGAACCCATTCCCCCATTCCAGACAGGAGAAGCCTGAATGATTCGGAATGGCAGCCCTCAGGGTTCACATTGCCCAGAGGCTCCGAAACCCCGTAATTAAGGAATATGCCTAGGGAATCCTAATATGACTCAAGGTGCATTCCTTTATTCAGGGGTGTTGGAGTCTCTGGTTATAAGCATAGTACTCGCAGGATCGGGGGACTTTGTAACTGGTTATTTTAAGGACTTATAAGTACCATAACTCACAATAAGGATCCCTTTTAGGGTACTTGTAGGTCTACTTACTACCTACTTACTAAGTCCCCCGACCCGCCAAGTATAAGACCCCCCAAAGCCACGACTCTGACTCTGAAGCCCCTTGGAAAGGCTCGAAGTTCATTTCTCACTTCTTTGGGTAGTATTATTAGGGAGACCCCTTAAAGGGTACCCCTTCTGAACCCTACTTCTGGCTCTCTTAAAAGGGGCCTTATTGAGAGGGTCTATATCCCCAAGATTCCCCCTAATCCTAACTCCCATTCTTGGGCTTCTCTTCTTCGCCCTGACACGAAGGAGCCTGACGTCTTGAGCCCGTGCTTTTTCTGGAACTACGGTTGATGATATAAATCCTGCATTACCCATAATAAGGAACATGCCATAATTCCCATAGTTTAGGGTCCTTAAGGTCATGCAGGATTTTTATCATCAACAGTAGAACCCTAAACCCTGAAGCCCTAAACCCCCCGCAATTAGAGCCTCAGGCTTTTAGGATTCCGGGTTTCGCAGTTCGGCCCCTGGGTTCGAGAAGGAACTAGGATCTCGGATCCAGGCGTCCCGTTTGTTAACACCCATGCCGAAGGCAATCGTCGCCACAATGATTGGGGTTTCACCACGCCTCGGGTGTGCCAATGCAAGAAGGTTCGGTAGGCGAGGCTTCTTTGAGGTACACGGTATACGGCTTGGGAGATGCAGCGTGCGCGGTGCATCGTCAGGCCTACCGGGGTGGGAAACGTTGATGTATGGTCTGTCAGGTCGACGGGCCATGGCAGAAGCATAAGCAGAAACGTCCCAGCTCCCGAACACCCCTCCTTAGTCGGCGGGGGAGGAGGAGGAGGAGGAAGATGAGGAAGATGAGGAGGAGTAGGAGTAGAAGCAGCACTAGGGCTAGTAGCATTTAGCTGCAGCGGCAGCCACCCAGAGACTCCAATATCCCTTATAGGATCCTTAATATGATTTAAGGAGTATTCCTTAATTCAGGGATATTGGAGTCTCTGGGCACGTACCTGCCATTTAACTTATTAGCTCAGGCCGACAATTCCGAACCGATGCCGAGCACGAAATCAGAGTATCAGGATGAATGCAAGGGCCGTAATTGGAATGGTGTTTTTGGGGATTCTAGGCTCTAGTTAAAAAGAGGAACCCTGCAGAATAGTCTTGGTATATGCATTTTCTTCATCCAGGCCCACATGAACCGAACTGAGGTTCTTGCTTCCACCGTTGTTGCCTCAGCAGGATACACGCACGATTCGTATTTTGCGCGTCCAGCCCTGCACCAAAACCCTGATTGCTGAGGCATGGGCACCGCCGCACGTTGCGTTGAATTCACTGATGCATGGTAGACTTCTGCACCTGAGGGAAATGAAAGCAAGCTCCGCCATTAAGGTTGAAGGTGCCGCATGCCATTCCACTGCCTTGACACCCTGCATCTGATCTCTAATCTAAGCCGCAAAGCAGACACTGTGCTTGTTCAGATTCGGAGATGCAATACTCCATGAGAATCCTTTTTCGTGTGGCAGGGATTATTCCAGCCAACAACAACGCTGCCAGTGCTGCTCCATGTGTGTTCACAATGCTTGAGATCGTAATCCGAAAGCCTAGATATTGGAAACACAGCAACAGAGACCTCGGCTGCACTTTCCGAGGAATTGGACTTGAAGCTTCAGTGGAAGCTTCGAACACCGACAGACTGCCACATCTACGGCATATCTGCAAGCAGGAGCAGTCCAAGCCGCCGTGCAAGCAGGCCCAAGCTCCGATCCTGCAATATGTGAGCCTTCAGACATTGGAATTAGGAGGGAGCTTCGGTCCCTGTTACACTTTTGTATGCTTCTACATATGGGAGTTTCCGAAAATGGGGGACCCTAGCAAAGTACCCCAAATAGTCGAACCCTTTTTATAAGGCGCCACAAAGAAAGGTACCCCTAATTATCGGAAACTCCCCCCCTTTAAGGGCGCTGAAGACATAATTATCACACTCAAGTGACCTCGGCTTCAAACCCCAGACCTTCCTAAAACCCGAAGTCGAAACACAACCCCAAACGCACAAAAAGTACCGAACAAAAATGCTAAAACACGCCGCCATTAAATTCTACAATACACTCTACGCCTTAAACCTTAGACTCTGAAGGGACCTGAAGCTTGAACTAGAAATCCTGAAGCCTAAACCCTAACTCAACAACCTAAGCCGACAAATTCTGGGTGCCGCGCGAATTTGCATCTGCGCAAGCTCCTTCTGTACATCTTCGCCTCAGGACTCACAACAGGCAGCTTTCTCTCGCAACTGCACATTGGGAGGTTTACTTGCTTAGGATTCTCGGTTCTTGGGATTTAGGTGCAGTCCCGAGCTTAAACCCTGACTCCTCAACCAGAAGCTAAACACCGGACCCTGAACCCTGACCCCTCAACCCCTACACTACACCCGAAGTCAGAAACTTGAGGCCCCGGCATCCCCTGTAAAAAAGCCAACACCCACAGACATTGAAACCCTGAAACCTCAAATCCTGAATCCTCCGTAAGGTTTGAGGTTTAGGGCGAGTCTATAGTCTCTACTAAACCCCTTGCCAAGGTCCAAAAGCCCGAAAAGTCCTCAAGTAAATCCTAAACTCCCATCCATGAAGCCTAACGAAGCATGCATAAACCTACTGCTTTGGGGTTATACCCTATGATATCCCTATAATATAAGAAAAGGGTCAGCCCGACAATAGCATAACACCCGTACAAACACCTTACAGAACGGTGAGATAGGCATGACCCGTCGCCCAGGTTGAGAGCCCCACAGTTCTGTCTGCTGAGGCAGTAGATGATTCCGGACTGTCCTGCAAGCCATGAGTTTTCTGCTATGCGGATTGTTCGCGCGTATGGGAAGCAACGGTCATTGTAGCAGCAGGCACCAGTAGCAGCAAGAACAGTCGCAACACTGTCTCAGCCATTGCCAGATTCTTGGTTATGGTCGCACGTGTCGCGTGGTGGCAAAGGTGTCGCCGTTCCTACGGGGTCCTACTAGCACCAGCACAGTAAGACAACCGCCATATAGTCAAATTTACCGAATCCGAAAACCTCAATCAGAAACTCCGGGAAGAAACTAACTGCTGTCCCCAAACCATGAAAATTTCAAGCTCAGCCCTAAAGCCCGAAACTCCTACAACCAGACCCTTACATGTATTTCGTTTTGTCAAGAGCTTAGTTGACAGCCTTCCACCCTAAAACCAGTTTTCGGATTTAGAACTGCATTAACTGGAACATCCTGAGAAGCTGGAATGGATCAGCTCGCCAATCTCCCTGACCACCGATTTCTTGTTCTTGATGCGAACCTCGTAAAGCGTCTGCACATAATGCAGGGTTGGCTCAGCAATTCCACACATACACAATGCTTGTCAGGCTTCAGCGAACGAAAATCGAAAAACTAGACCAAGCTAAATCTGATCCGTTGGGTTTAAGTTAAAGATTGTAGGATGCGCTTCGCTGCACTGACTTCTGCGTCGTTTGAAAAATCGAAAGCTACGCTTTAGCGCTACCAGTTCGGATAGTATCTTTCTTGAACTTTTCGATGCTCGTTGCATCTGATGTAATGTGTTCCGTCCGTGCGGCTGCTGCTACTGCTACTGCTCCTGACACCTCCACCACCGCCTCACCACCAGCACAACCACTACTGCCACCACGACTACTAGCACCAGCAACACGAGCACCACCAGCAGCACCAGCAGCAGCAACAGAAACAGCAACAGCCCAACCAGTACAATCTCGAACGCCCAATCCTCGAGGTGGCATTCGTAATTCCATGGCTCGTGATTACAAGGTTTATGGCTACCTCGACTACAGTCCTGCAGGGCTTTCGCCGGAATCGTAGTAACTTCTCCACGCTACCAAATCGTATGCCGCCCATGTCGCAGCATCCGAAACCTCAAGCTATGATTTGAACCCAATCTCCTTTACATACTCCAAACCCCAATGCAGGGGCCTAAATAATCACCAATATTATTTTGGGGGTTCCTTCTTACATTTAGTATAATGGGCCCCAAAACCCTACTCTAACTGTTGAGGCGACTACATTAGAGCCCGAGACCCTGTACTCTGAACTCCCATCCAAACAAAAACGAAACACGAAATCCTGAACAAAGGCTCCCGTGCTTTTGGGTCTAGGGTTTAGGGGGGCTTGACCCGCCGGAACCCCAAACCCCAAACGAACTACCTCCTACAACCCTACAACCCTAAACTCCGAACCTGAAAACACTGAGCCCTACACAAGCCCAGCTAAACACCCGTAACTTGAGCCCTAAACTAACCCCTCCAACTTTTCAAACCTTATGACAAGCCCTAAGCACCCCGAAACGCTAAACACCAAAACACCAAAACCTACACTCTGAACCCTGAACCCTACAGCCCAAACCCTACACCCAAAACACCAAACCCTACACCCTGAACCCTAACCCCAAACCCTAAACCCTACACCCTAAACACCTGACCCTAAAGGCGCTTATAAACCGTAGATGCCTCGAACTGCAGGTTGGGGCGGTCCACGGGGCTCAGGAAGACCACGGTGTCCCTGCATATCGTGGCATGGAAGCTCTTCGGGAGAAGGGTTTCAGGGTGTAGGGTTTAGGGGTTCAGGGTTTAGGGGTTTAGGGTTTAGGGGTTTAGGGGTTTAGGGGTTCAGGGTGTTTAGGGTTTAGGGGTTTAGGGGTTTAGGGTTTATGGGGCTCAGCGTTGACTATAATAGTTTTGGGTATAGGGCTTGCAAGCTGTGTAGGATAATAAGAGTCAGAGTAGAGTTTGGGTGCAGAGTTTGTACGGTTTGGGTTAAGGGCTCAAGGTGTATGGCCATTTAGGGCTTTGAGATGTCTAGAATCTAGGAACTTCAGTTCAGCGCGCAACAACGGGGACCTTCATATTATAGGGGCCTCATGAAGTGGAACAGGACTGTGCAGGTGTAATACAACACGTCTTGAAATATATGGTTGTGAGGAGACTATCAACGGGATACCTACTACTAATAAGTCCAACCTATTCATGCATGCAAATTCACTACACCTCCGAAACCGAAGCTCAATGTCTCGCCCTGGGGGAGAGCAGAACGCAGGGATCGTTGAAGAAAAATCGAAAACACAGCATCACGGATGAAGCCTTTCCAACACGAGTAGATACCCTCTTCAAGAAAGCTGAAAGTCTGTTTCCTGACTCGAAAGTTGGGATGTTGTGCCCAAGGCGCTGGACCATCGACAGCTGCTTCAGCACGCTGGAGATGATCTGCCCGCCACGCTTTCAGATTCGGCTGGGCTCTGATCACATTCGGCATTCCTGCTTTGGGGACGTGTAAGATTCAAGTTCGAGGAACGAAGAGGGTTCCTACAAGACGCCTACAAGGATTCCTATATCTTGTTCCTTTGAGGGCTCCTATATAATATGTCGTTCCTGTAAGGGTTTAGTAGCAGATCTCCAGGTCCAGAGAGGAGGCTGGCATGACGTTTACTGTTGCCGCAACTGCCCATCCCCATAGTAGTTCCCTTTGGGGGTTCATGTTTAGAGTTATCTAAGGTAATTCCAAAAAGGAACTACTATGCGGGCTACGGGTAGTCTCTATGGAAAAGCCGAGCTCCCCGTGAAGATGTCGAGTGAAACAGTTGCAGTATGTCACGCACAGGTCACATATGATTCCAACTGTACGATATTTGCACATACTTCCCACTAACCCTAAACCCTAAACCCTAAACACAACTGTTGGGTGCGGATTTTGGGGGCTCAGGAGTTGGGGTTGCAAGCCAAATCAACGACGACGGCACGGAATCGCCGGGCCGTCTGTCACGACCCGCAAAACCAGAAAACCACAGAAAAGAATCCACACCTAGACAAGAAAGGAGAGGCTGCGCATTCACATTAACTCAAGCAAGACCACAGGCCACACTCACAACCTCAACCTGAAGCGGTGAAGCAGCAAAGGAAAGGGCAAGGTCTCTAAAACTCTACACCCTTTATGGGAGTTTCCGACTTTTGAGGCCCCTATATGGTACCCTAAAAAGATAGGATCCTTATTATAAGGACCCCCAAATAGGATACCCCTAGTTTTTGGAAACTCCCATATTCAACCACCCTAAGCCCTCTAAGCCCGAAATGGCGCCTCATCGGTCGCAGTCGCAGTGCACGCGAGGATAGGTCTGCAGTTTTAGGAGGGTTCAGGGGTAGATATGAGTAGAGCGATAAGTCCGCAAATATGGTTTGTAACTATAGTTACCTTACTTATAACATCTTATAACCCCCTTATAGCATGCTAAGACTACCCACGAAGCTGCGGGAAGAGTCTGGGTTTGGGTCGCGAGGTCACACGCCTAAGGAAGAAACCTTTCTCCAGTTCTGAGGATTGTAGTTAGGATCCCGAAGGTTAAGAGCCTGCACATTAAAGCCGAAGAACTTCTCATGGTGCAGGCAGTAGGTCAGGTGTACCGTCGAGTTACATGAGTTTAGCAGAGACAATACTACAACAGAACCTGTGAGGTGTCACAAGCCTTACCGGCCCTTACCCATGTTGATCGCGGGATCACGGAGGCATATACAGCCAAGACGATGTGATAGTCGCGCTTGGGACGGACCAGCAGGTTGCTCCGCGGAATCGTGTGGCCTTGGTACAATCGCATGTCGTGGCAGCCTCTTGCGACCACGAACCAGCCACACGAAGGTGTTATCCTGGCCGTTTCCCAATGCCAGGGCCCATCTGCATGTCTGCAACCGGCCCCCGACTGACAAAACACGATGTCCCCGACCGGTTGCAAAGTACTCCCACTCCAGCCAGGCGGAGTGTCTTGTGGCGTGGCAGAGCCTGTAGGCGAACTATCAGGGCTGCGAGAAGGGCTACCATGAAGACTCTGGCAGGTTGTATACAATGGCTACAATACCTGGGCTTATTTAGTAAAACGCTGCATGTATGTCTGCCCACAGAACATGCGCAGAAGCTAAAAGTCCTGCCAAGAGCATGCGGCCAAGAACTCGGAAAGACGACGCCTAGCTGAAACAGCAAACAGACAAGCATTCAGTGCCCAACGAAGGACAGCCACAACCCGACCCCAATGGTACGCTCAACACAAGGGGCAATACGCTACACAAGCAATAGTTAAGGTTTCAGACACGAAACCAACATCACTGTAGATCAAGTCAGAGATGCAGCTCCTCCGCTCATCGTGCTGATGTTGTTATAGTGCTGCTGCTGCAGCTGCTACTGCCGACCCTACTACAGGAGCCTGAATAATCAGAATTTTGTATTGGGGCACATTAAAGCATCGTTATAGTAAGGAACCCCCACAACATTATTGGTAGTTACTAATGATTAATGGCTAATGTCCCTTTAATACTCCCTAAAACCCTAAACCCTCAATGCGCCTTTAATACCCCCTAAACCCTAAATGCCATTTTATTACCCCTTAAAACCCTTAACCCTAGACCCGAAACCCTAAATGCCCTTTTACACCCTAAGTCCCTAAACTCTAAATGCCATTTTATTACTCCCTACCCTAAACCCTAAACACCCCGTTATTACTCCCAGGCTCCGGGGAACCGGCACATTTGGGAAGGAGACCCGGAGGTTCCGAAGCTCCAAGTAGCTCTCCTCAGGGAAGAGCCATCAGTTTTCGGGTTAGGGGTTTAGGGATTAGGGGTTATGGGGTTTAGGGTTAGGGAGGTTAAAGAAGCCACCTTGTGAGGCTGTGGGGTGCTGTTTTGGGTTTGGGGCCAGGTTTTAAAGCTAGGGTTCAGGGTTTTGGGTTGTGGATTCAGCGTTCAGGGTTTAGGGTTTGGGGTTTAGGGTTCAGCGTTCAGCATTTTAGGGCTTGGGGCATTGGGTTCAAGAGCCAATAGAATCTGCCAAAGGTTGGTTGTGCGTTATAGTAGAACCTTATTGAAGAACAAGGGGCAATCTTGGTCATTATTCAGGCTACCAGCGGCTCTGTTGCATATCATCGTATAATCCTATCAAGGAATCCAAGGAATCCTCAGGGATAGCATTGGTCATTCTTCAGGCCTCTAGAATCTAAGACTGCCAGCAGCTGGCAGCTACAAGGCGCGAAACAACCATATAAACGAGGCTTAATTGGAGGTTCATGGATAAGTAGTTATACGTGGGCTTCAAAGTCCCGGAATACGAGTTGTAGGTGATTACACTACAGTACCCATAAACCTCAAGGTAAGCCCCTGAGGCCCCAAATCAAATGCAACACAAACTCCTGAGTATCTACTCAGAGATCCCAATATCCCAAGGTCTCAGGGAAATCACACTTACTCTCTGACCTTTTCACAAATCTCGAAGCCCTTCCCCGCAAACGCGTTTTCTCCGAGCGTCTCGGAATTCATTTCCCCAGGTAGAGCAACAATGCCTGGGGAAGAGCCCCGGTTCGAAAATGTAACTCTGCGATGAGGCACAACTGAAGCTGGCTCTGATGTCTTCGAAACTGAATTTCCGTCGCTGCAGGCTGCAGTACTTTCGGCCATCGGTCTTTGCGGGCTAGGTGCGACGGTCGGGGTCTTAGAGATACCTGACGCCTGACACCGGCGTTATCCAGGAGAACCTGTGTGTGTGTGTGTGTGTATATATATATACACACACACACATACATGGGTAGTTGTCAAAATTGGGGTGCCTTTTGGGGTTAATTATAGTACGGCACCTAATATTAAGGGTACCCAAAAGGTACCATAATTTTGACAACCACCCACGTACACGTTCACCTGTTATGTAGGCATGCACGGTTTCTTGTTTTTATGCGGGTAGCCAGAGTGCCACCTGCGCCCTACAACTGACCTTGGAATAAGTGTGTTGAAGTTTGATGCCTGGGAGATATCCATACGCCCCATAGTAGTTCCTTTTGGGGGTTCATATTTTTGTATTCTATAAGGTAATCCCAAAAAGGAACTACTATGGGGTCTATGGGTACTTTCTCCCTTGTGCTTGGCGTTGCTCAAACCCAACAGCGCTATCGTTACGCTTGAAACATAGGCACCCTTGGGGAGGGGGGGAAGGGGCCTTAATGCCCATAATCAGGCTGATAAGGCCTAAGGAAGGAAGTATAGTCGCCTACCCCCATCCCCCCTATCCCCCTAAGGGTCCCTATGATTAAAACACTTCATCCTACCGCGACCCTTCGGCAAGCAGGCCGCTTACAATGACATGAACTTTCCGCTTCAGGGCTACTTGTGCTGGTCAGGGCGCAAGGTATCTGAGATCTGAAGATTACGGCCAAGGGTTTGGGCTTCGGGAGTTTCTGGTTTTGCAATCATGCAGTAATCATGTCATCCTCCGTTCCAGCGCAGTCTGGAGTCTGCGGAAGTCGATGGAAACAGGAAGAAATTTCACTTTTCTGGTGTCTGAGGGCCCGTCGCCTCATCAATGACGAACCGTTGCAAACGCTGCTCCGTGTAAAGGCCTGAACGCTCTGGTTGATGGAGGGGGGGGGACCTGTCGTGAGCGAAGGTGCCTGTCTCAAGGACTTGTACCGAACTTTCCAATTAAGCAGCTGAGAGGTAACAGGGACACATCCAATATATCAACGTACACGGGTACTGCTCGTTGTCCTAGAGACAGAGACTGCCACTCCCGACGCACCGCACAAGAACCGCAAAGAGAGAAGCCGTGATGGATCACATACTTCCGAACGCGCAAATTGCATGCAACCAAAGACCAGTCCCGAAGACTGTGCCTTCGATTTAACACTGAAGAATCAAGCTCACTCAGGTTAAAAGTTGTGACAAGTCGGCAGAGCAGAATGCCGATTGTGCCGTACTAGCCCACGCCGAAATAGCAGTGGAGGAGTTGCTGCGGCTGCTGTTGCACACCTATAGTCCATGGTTCCTTTGATCTCAGGCCCATGCGTCGCAGCGTCTTCTGCAGCACGGCACCTGGTATGCTTGCCTCTAGGTGCTTGGAGGGTCGGGGGACTTAGTAAGTAGGTAGTAAGTAGACTTATAAGTACCCTAAAAGGGACCCTAATTGGGGTTATGGTACTTATAAGTCCCTAAAATAACCAGTTACTAAGTCCCCCGACCCTCGAAGTGACGAGGAATTACGAAGACTCCTGGGCAAGTGATGTCAGAAACGAGCTGATGACTGACGCTGTTCCCTCTCACGATGTCTACGTACAGGTTGCTTCAGAGGATGTTAGGGTTTAAGGTCTGCTTGTTGTTCTACAGGGAACTCCAGAAAGTTAGAATATGGATTAATGGTAGGATCTTCTACTGTAGCTCATATGATTTTGGGAGCTGGCACACTCGGCACCCAAAAATAAAGATGCGTGAGGGTCCACATGAGATGCATGGTAACCGCCCACGAGGAAAGCCTTGCCCCAAATCCTAGACCCAGAGAACCCAACAACCCTATGAAGAAATGTAACTTAAAGCAGATTATTGAGGCCGTTGTAATTTCAGGAGAAATCCCCAGAGCCAAGAAAATGCTCCGAGTCAAACATTCCCATTTGTCATGCTTGGTCCTTGTTACGGCACTTGGTTAACGTTCCCACAAGTGCTGATTTATAGCGAATAACATACGATTTCCTTATCATTATACTTTAAAATTAATTTGAGCCCCATGGCCCCATAACAACAACCCAGCATGGTGCACGCCGTGTCAATCCAAAGTTGACGCTCGAAGCTCTAGTCACTCTCTACCCCCAAACCCTCAAGCTTGGAAACCCGCACCACACTTGACCCGAAAACCTCAATCCCAGACACCCGAAGGCTCCATGGTAAGCCCTAAACTCACTACAAATTTTAACGCCCGGTACCCTCGTACAGCCCTCTCTTTGCAACTCCAGGGGCTTTGGTGCATCATCTCCGGCGTGACCTGATGTAGGGTGTCGTTTAGTCATACTCACCACCAACACTCCAACACCGGAATTACAAACCCTACTTCACCTCATTGAGATGCGGTCTGGATGACTTTGGCCGTGCTTGCTATGGTCGAGGCTTCGGGCTCGGAAGTTTCAAGGCGCGCGTGTAAGGCTTGGGGTCTAATAAGGTTCAGGGTTTCAGGGTTTTCGCACCCTAAGCCCTAAAAGCGGAGCCCTAACCTTCGGGTTGAAGGATTTACATGACAAGGGGTTTAAGTTAGAGGTCTTGACTTCAGGGCTTGGTTGCTGTTCACTAAGATCAAACAAAGCTGTCCGAGCAACCAGTTCCTAAGCTCAAAGCCACCACAACACGGCAGCATCCAAAATGATTCAGCAAATGCTGACACAAAATTGTGGGATCCTGGGAAAGGCTTCGAGGGCACACAGCAAGTGACCCTCATGGCCTGCGCATGACGCTTCTGGTTTTGGACGTTCGGATGCAGGGTACAGGTAAGGCGACAAGTTGGCACTCACACGATCTGCCCATGCGCGAGAACGGCAACCTGCAAACGAAGAGCTAGGTTAGGGCCCCAAGCAAGCACATAAGCAAAAATTATGATAGGGATATCGCATAGAAAACCCCCTTAAAACCTAATAGCTGCCGAAAGCTGGGCGGCGGGCATAGACAATCTGAAGATCACCATCGACCATTCTTTTGGAGACCTCCGAGGGTTCTGCTTGAGAAACCCTCAACTCAAAGGGGAAAAGGAGGGACCCTTAATGGGGACCCCTACCCTATAATGGGCTATATAACGGGTATATAATAGCTATATTAAGGGTATATACCTAGGGGTCCTTATTAAGGGTCCTTCCTTTTACCCTTGGATAAAACCTGAACCCTAGACCCTAAACTTCTGCTTTCAGAGGGCTCTCTAAGCTTTTGCCCCGAGATGCCAGCTCGATTCACGTTCCGTTACGGTTTACAAGTCTGAGGGGTCTAGGGTCTAGGGTTTAGGGTTTAGAGGTCTAGGGTTAGGGTTTAGGGTTTAGGGGTTATGCCATGTCTAATCTACCATACCTTGCCAAAAACTAGCTGTATATGGTTTAAGATCGGACAGAGTACAGGTTCGATCCCGGGTCTGGCAGAACCTCAGGCCTGAAGGCCTACGGCCTTCTGCCGAAACCCTTAGCCTGCGCCCTAGGCCTCCAGATTCCTAACCCTAAGCCTCAACCCCTATCGATCCCTGAACCCTAAACCCGAACCCTTATAAACCCTTACACCAAAAACTCCGCACCCTGAGAACAACCCAACCCCAAACCTTTAAACATCTGGAAGATCAAATCTTTAGACAGTAAGATTATACTGGCCCACTCTACAAGAGTTACTACAACGGGCTAGTTCTGTGATTCGGGATCTTGAAGAAAGACTACCAAGCCGGAACTATTAGCATACTTCGAGGATCATGGGAGGTTATAAGTCGGGTTACAAGTAAGGTAACTGTAATTCTAACCCATATGAGTGGACTGATAACCCCACTTATAACTGTGCATGAACCTCCAAGATAGGCATTAAACCCTATGCCCTGATAGAATCCCTCTAGATCCCTTTAAAGGGACCCTTAAAGGAACCCTTATAACTGCCCATGAATCTCCATCTCATGGGTTCCCAAAATCCCTCCCGAACCCCGGTCCGAAAAAAACTACGCTAAACCCAAAACCCTAAAGCCCAAAACACCCCTTAACCCTAAACCCTAACCCAAAAGCATAAACCCCAAACCCTAAACCTAAAACACCCTTAACCCTAAACCCCAACCCCAAAACCCTAAACACCCTTAACCCTAAACCCAAAACACCCTTAACCCTAAACTCGGATCCCTCCTGGTGGATGTCTTCGCCGGACTCGTCTCCACGAGATCTCACGGACGAGGCCTCGGCCGGCCCGGGTTTACTTGGAGGTTCAGGGGTAGTTATAAGGGCTCCTTTAAGGGTCCCTTTAAAGGGATCTATAGGGATTCTGTAAGGGTATAGGTTTTAGGGTCCATCTTGGGCGTTCATGGGTAGTTCTAAGCGGGTTCGTAAGTCCTTGAATCCCTCGGGTGGGAACGGCACCTGAAACCCCAAACCCAACAATCTCAAGACCCAATCGCTCAGTTCCGCGCCTTGAACGTTAGACCCGGAAGCATCCATTCGGTACTGCCCCCATACAGTAACAGTCTATAAAAGGGCTACTATCAAGGTCCTAATATATCTATATTATGCTACTGAGCGGGGGCAGTACCCAAAGCATCCACAGCTTAAGCCCCAACCCGTCGATGGGACAGAAGCCATCGAAAGCTCGCCCCATGAGTGCCTGGCTCCCACTCCGATATCAGTCCTCGGGTCACTTTGAAGTGGCCTTAATAAGTGGAATAGGGTTGTGGTATGGTTTCATAGGATGTTTACAGGGTTGGATATGCTGTCTTTAAGACTAGGATATTGGTGTCAATTATTTCAATAGGGCTTTGGGGAAATTACATCAACAATGCCGATCCTTGCTGCCTCCTAGAAGGTGGTTCTCCAGTTGCGACTAATAGTAGCATTACACAAGCTGCTCGCGAATGTACGACCCGGTCTACATTGCCACATGCGGGTGGTGCGTCGTCTTCGTCGTAGTCATAATGGCAGTCGTAGCCGCAATGGCAGCAGGGGCAGCTGCCAATAGTACCCCTACCAGTGCTGCTGCCACTGCTGCTGCGGGCTGCCGGTGCTCTCCTGCACCTACTGCTACTGCTACTCCTGCTACTACTATAACTACTATATACTTCTACCACTCAACCTGAAAATCTCGCCCACACTGGAACATACGAGTCGATGCCCTGGACCGAAACCCCTGACTTTAGTTTCATGGATGCCCCTCAGTTTCAAAGTTGGATGGCCGCAGATCTCTTTTTACATATTTGGGCACTTCGCAAGCGGATCCTCCATGTAAAGACACCCACAGCAGACCCGTAATTTGAAGAACGCGAATCCAAGCCGAAAGAGACTGAGTGTAGTGTTTTTTGCACAAATCGGAAACCGAAGCCCGAAAGACCTTATTGCTCCAAACCGAAAAGGCATTGAACTCCCCCGTGCACCGGAAGTCCAGTCGTCTTCTGAGAACCCAAAACCTTAAACCCGAAGAAAACAAAACTCTTGGACTTGCTGCTACCATGGTTCAGCTCCTGCACTTGGTCCTGCGCTTTGCCAAGTTTGGGGGATAACATCGGGGCCTTAATAGTTAGAATACGGTTCCTTTTTAAAGGGGTCTATAAAGGGGTACTAGAAGGGCGGGTCTTAATAATTAGAAAAAAGTTTTGGGGCCCCTTATACTACAATTACAATAAGGAACTCCCAAAATAGTATAGGTAATTTATTATAGCGTTGGGGAATTTAGGGTGTTGTGCTTAACGTTGTTTGAGGGTTTGACTGTTGAGTCTAGGGGCTTTGGGGTCTCTCGGGCTTACGGTCTTAGGGAAACTGGATTTTCGGGATCAGGGCCTCAAGATTAGGGTTCCTCCCCGCTTGAAGTCACAGGGTTCATTGCTTTAAGGGTTTTGGGCTGCTCTAACGGCTTTCATGAGAGAATAGGGTTTGGGGCAGATTACTGTAACTATAGCAAGGGACTCTGAAGAAGAGTACTACTGATTCCGACGAACGTCCGGGTTGCGCGCCTGAGGCTTTTGGCTTGACTGTTACGGGCTCTCGAAAGTTTAGGGTTCTGTTCGAGCTTGAGGATCGAGTGCGCAAGATAAACATGCACTGGCCTTACCGTGTAGGTCTTTGACAATTAGTTTCCCCAGTAGCCCCTTAGCAGTGAGGGGACCCCTTCTCCCACAAATTATTCGGTTTCTATAAAGGACCTCAATCTGACAAAGGGCAATAAAGGGTTCGGAATAATTGCTAGTAGTCTTCCTTTAGAGCCCCAAATACAACCGCTGTATAACTCGCCCCCAACCTCCTATTCTAATTATTGAGGCCCCTATATTGAGGTAGTGGGTTTGAGGTTCCAAATCTTCGGAACAAACACATTCCAGCGACACGGGTGGCGTACCACGACAGGCAGCAGGAAGACAAAGCGCAACGCTCCGGAAATGCTAGTTTCGGTATGCTTCAGGGTTTATAGGGTGTGAGGTTCAGGGTGCATCTGTACCCCGGCTGGCACATCCGAATCATACTGCAAGACCGCAGCCACAAATTGTACCCTCGATTGTGCCGAAAATTTCGCATGTGAGGGGTGAGAGCGTGCCCTGAAACCCTAGACCCTGAACCCCTAAACCCTAAAACCCTAACCCCTAAACCCTAAACCCCTAAACCCCTAAGCCCGAAACCCTAGAGCTGGTACCTTCGGAACAACATCAAGGGTGAACGTGCTAGGCGGTCCTGGATCAAGGAAACCAGTGGGCTGATAACGATGACTAGAGGCTTCACCTCGGCAGACGCTTCCTTGAGGCTTATAGCCCCAAGGGTCCAAGGACCTGATAATCATATACTCTCCAAAATCCTAACCTACATAACTATTATCCTAAAATCGAGTACCTGATTATTGGGTCCTTTGGACCCTTGGGGTAGGTTTCAGGTTGAAAGGAAGCCTTCCAGAATTCAGTCTCCTAAGCTTGACTTGCATTACAAAGTGAAGACAAAGCTGTTGTGCGTGTGGTTCTGGGTTGAGGTCTGCATGGCTGGTATTATAAGGTCTATATCAGCCAGGCGAATGTCAACAAAAACATGGGCTGCACAGATATGGCTTGTTGAGCTCGCGCCCCTTTTGCAGCATATCCGCCGTCTTTCAATCCCGACCAGCTTGGCTTCAATTTGCAAAGCAACAACAAGCCATCGCTTAGCGATCGACCTGATCATAACAGGAAAGGAAAGCCTAGCAAAACACTCAAACACGCTACTAAAATGAACAACATGATGGCAGTGAAAGCGATTTCAACAACGGGACAATCACAAATAAGCAAAACGGTACTAAAGGCACAAGAAGCGGAATGCCAACAATACCAGCAGGAGTAGTACTGATCACAGAGAGCAACGCGGTCGTTATGGCCAGATAGTAACAGTACTAAAGATAACAATACTAATCATGGGAGCGACAACGCTCATCATAGAATCATAAACGGTAGTAACCGCCATGGTCATGCCCCGGAGTGCCAGGCGCGGAAGTTGCCCATCCGCAGAGGCTGAACTCTGAACCCTACATCATGATTCCCCGAACCCTACCCAAAGACCCCATAGTAGTCCCTTTTTGGGATTCTATATATGAAGTCCAAAAAGGAACTACTCTGGGGCCTTTGGGTAAACCCCAATCTGAGGGCCCCAACAACTGCGGGTATCTGGTAAACGAGAGACTTCCCGCCTGCGGCTCAAGACCAGAAAAAATCAACATTTATTTGGGGGCTGTTGTTAGGGTCTGTTTTAAGGGCCAGCTAAATACAAGCGGTTTGGGGTTCACGGTTTGAGGCTAAAGGGTTTGGTGGCTTTAGAGGATTAAGGTTTTGGCTTCGTCCGGAGGGCTTTCTTGTAAACCCCCATGGCAGCCAGTGCGAGTTCGGATTTCGGTAGGCAGGTCTAAAGGTCCAGGGCATTGGAACCTGAGTTTATAGTATATAGCACTGCCAGTGTTGGGTTTCAGCTGTGTGCAAACAACTTCCGTAGTTCAACTTCGAGTCACGGGCCTTTCCAGTCGTGAGTGCTTCGGGATTAAGGTTTTGCTGTAGGATGCAATCGTGATTCAATTAAGCTTCCGTCATCAGCCAGAAAGATGAGTACCGGTCGAATCAAACGACTGTGTGTTGCAACAAATATGCAGGCTGGCCATACCCTTATCACACGACGTCAAACATTTGACACGAATCCAGCGGCTATTGGAGCCACCTGGTCTAGCTTCATAAGGCAGAGGTCTCGATCTGGTCTTCAATAGGGCTTCGGGTTCAGGGTACGGCTGGAGTCCGCTACCACACCAAAGACTGGTCCAAGCAGCAACGGCAAACAACAGCAGCCCCGCAACCGCCGGGACCCGTTGCTGCATTGGCTCCAGACAAGTCTACCAAAATACTTGCCCCCCAAACCGCCAGAGAACCTTGAACCACAAGTAAAGAACTCAGAAACTCCAACGTGACACATGGGCTAGAAACCCTGCATCCCCCCCCACCGCTTTGGAACCCTGGGGAGTTCGGGGTTCAGGGTTTGGGGCTTTAGAGAAAACCTCCCAAGCCCTCAGACGAAACTTTGGCTTCAGGCCCTCACCTCCCGTTGGCATTCTGACAAAGACATCTCGCCCGGCAAGGCAGGCATTGATTGCCTGGCCAAGCACTCCACTGGAAGCCCTTTCGGGCTCAGGGTTTAGGATTTTGGGGTTTACACTCAGAGTACTATCCTCATCATCAGTCCTACTTCGTAGCAGTCTTCACGGTAGTGGTGGTTGTTGCTTTGGCTTCTAGTAGATGTCGCAGCAGCAGCAGCAGCAGCAGCAGCAGCAGCAGCAGCAGCAGCAGCAGCAGTAATGATACTCGTAGTCGTCGTTGTCGTCGTGGTAGCTGGCAGTCGTGGCAGTCGTAGTCTGTAAGCTGCATGCAGGATGTTCTCTGCCATGATGCAGAGGTTTACGCGGCAAGGGGCCTGAGGCCCTAAACCTTAAACCTCCAACGGTTTAGGGTTTAGGGGCAAATCTTCTAGCCCGCTAACCCGCTAAACCTCTAAACCCTGAACTCTGAACTCTAGATCCAAAGCCTTATAAACCCTAAACCCAGCGACCCGCCTCGCGCTGAAGAGGTCGGAAGCTGCCATGAACACCCAACCGAGGCAAAGCCGCACGAACCAAGTTGTCCCACTCAGGGAAGGCCTCTCGCAAGGACCAGGAAGTACTCAGATGATACCCTAAACCCTAGAGCCTGAACCCTATAAACCCTAAACCCCAAAACCCTAAATCCTAAACCCAAAGGCCCCAAGGCTTGCTGGTTTCGTCCGCTTGAAGCCCAAACCTCAGTATCCGCAGTGTTTAGGGTTTAGGTTGGTTCATCATAAGCTTGTATCTACGTGCTCAAACATAGGGAGAGAGAGTGTGCAAACTATTGCAAACACACCTCTCCGAGGCACTTCTACTTGAAGGATCATGGGGCTTGCTACTAGAGTATGAGTACATCATCAGAAGGGCCTATGCGTACAGTCACCTTCGTAGTTGACCCCTTGTGGAGCTTCAGTTGAGAGGCGGTTCTTAAATCCAGGGGGGCTCCCAGACCCAAATGGGAGTTTCCGAAAATTAGGGGTACCTTCTTTTATAAGGATCTAGGGTATTTTGGTGTCCTTATATTAAGGATTCTACTTTTGAAAATCTGGAGTACCATATGGGCCCCCTATTCTCGGAAACCCCCAAACCCCCCAAACTCTGAATCGTAAAGCAAGGGACGAGAAACCCGAGGCTCTCCGCCTTGAAAACACACCCAAGCCTTCAACCTTAGGTACTGCCCCCATACAGTAATAGTCGATAATAGGGCTACTATTAAGGTCCTAATATCTCTACATTATGAATATGATTCAACTATCACTGAGTGGGGGCCGTACCCAACCCTTCAACCCGAAAGCAGCCCAAGACTCTGTGCCTTAAAACAACGCAGACCCTAACCCAATGCACGCAACTCAAACCTGCAAAAGCAAATCCTGAACCCCAAACCCCTAAAACTGAAAAAAAAAAAAAAAAAAAACTGAACCTCTAAAGCCCTAAACCCCGAAACCCAAACCCCTTCAAGGCGCCCTAAACTAGGCCCTAAACAGCAATCAAGGGCAGTATAGGGTTCCATATATAATGGCGTCCGTTTGAGACGTGTTTGCTTTAATTTTACGGGTTCTACTGGGGTTTAGAGTTCCCTTACGGGGACCCTATTGTACAGAACCCTATAGTACCCTTTAAAGAGTACTATAAGGCTCTCTGGTAGGGTCCCTTCAAAAAAAAAAGGGAACCCTTAATGGAACCTATTCCCCCCTTAAAGGGAACAGGCCTGAGCCCAGATCCCCAGCCCCTGGCTCTGCACCTGAGCTCTTGTCCAAGGAACGTTTTTAGTGGTGCTAGGTTGAAGGATTTTGGTTTTTTTGTTTCTGAACTCCACGTTTAGGTTTAGGTCTTGTTGGACGTTTAGGTTTTTTGCATGCCAGGTTTGGATTTTTTGAAACTTGAGGTTAAGGGGTTTGGGGTGTTAAGGGTCTAGGATAGTTCAGATTTGACCATAAAAGGGGAGCAGAATAAACTGATCCATGCCTTCCCGGTGTATGGTACCTTTAACCCCCCCCTCCTTAAAGCTGTATCGAGCTACACAAAACAAAAAAACATGAAGCCCTGCAAAACCCCTATTCTGAGTCTGGTAACTGAAGCTAGTTCCCAGGCACTGGCACGATGGGATCCGGCGGTTTTTGCTCCCGGCGCTCTGGAGGGGCTTGCCAGGCACCAGTCCTTCCGGAACTGGGAACTCGGTTTTGGGGTTGCGGCCTTTGGGCTTTTATTTGTTGACCCTAGTCTCTCGACACTAGACTCTCTTTTCTTGCCATGATAGGGTGCGACCGTGGGCACGCCGGGCGGCTTGAAATGGCGGTTGACTGCATATGCAGAAACGCACTAGTTTTGCCTATCTGTGTTGGCATAATGAGACAAAGGACGTGACCTGTATATGTGGAACCACCTCGCCAAGGTCCCTCTACTTTCCTTTTGCCAATGCGCGCCGAATGTGGCTGGTAGCTTACTTGACGTAGCGGGTCTTTTTGGAACGTACGAATAACGTGTCTAGCCAGCTTCGCACGTTGTCCATCACAAGCGCTGCAAGGAGTTGTATTTGGTTGTGTCCTCCTACTTCTGCATAAACATTCTCAACGACTCTTGCAATGGTGTTTGCTCTTCGCACACAAGTGGTACACCATACGTATATCCATCCATGTCTAGAGCCTTCCTCGAAGCTGAAAACGCAAATTCTTTCGCATGGCCTGTGCCAGATGAGCGACTGCAAGGACATACAACAGCTTGTCCTTGATGCCGGCACCACACCAGCATCCGTCCATACATCTACACATCAATACAGCCATACACACACGCACACTCAGACACACACACACACACACACACACACACAACACAAGTGATAATATATGTACCTGTAAATAAATACATACATACATACATACATGCATGCATACATACATACATACATGCATCCACGCATGCATGCCTCCATTCATGCCTGCATGTGTGCATGTGTACGTGTATGTATATATATATATATACACATATGTACAGACATTCATAAGCATGTGTGTATATATACACAGACATGCATACATAATAAGCCATGTGCACACATACATAAAAAATACCAGAATCGTTTTCAATGCATGTATGTTTGTTTAAGATACAAGTATCATACAAGACAATGTCGGATTAGATGATCTAAGATGATCTACAATACAAATGAAACGCGCTGAAAGAATCATAGATAAGCAGGTCAGGTCAGGCAAGGTCAGGTCAGATAAAACGGCTCACCGCACCGCAAGACAAGACATGATATAACTACCATGTCAGAACTAGCATTTCGAACCAATGCGGGCATTCAGTATATACATGTACAATATTTTTGTTTTTCTCTGAGGTATGGGTCTGGATATAGGGTTCGGGGCTTATGATGTCGAGGCGGCCATGACGAGCTCAAGATATGTCGCGGGGTATCATGTCGGATGTTTTGAGTTGAGGCCATCCAGTACCCGATCCTTCCAGAATTCGGCATCTGCAGCTCCATCGGATCGACATGCATCCCGGCACCGCCATGCGCAGCTGTTCTGCTCTGCATCATGGGGTCTCTTGCCTTGGTTCCCCAACTTTCGGACCCCCAAATCTCTAAACCTTGACCTATAGATCCCTCATAGACCCCCTTAAACTTGAAGGAATCAGGAATCCGTCATAATTAGTCCTGAAATCTTGACCCTTGTAGACTTATGCAAGCCTCATGTGTAAACCCCTCATTCATCAAAGGCATCCTTAACTGGGATCTAGTTGCTCTGCTCGCCATATCAGCCGGGAGTGGCCGAGGAACTGCAGCTTCCTGGCGTGCACCCCGTACCGGGCCGTGGCTTGCCAGATCCTCCACGTCCACAAGCCCCTGGCTGGTTCCTTAGCTGTTTAGGGGTTAAGGGGGTTTAGGGGTTCATTTAGGGATTTAGGGGCTTAGGCGTTGAGGGGTTTAGGGTTTAGGGGTTTGAGGGTTGAGGGGTTTAGGGGTTTAGGGACTCAGGAGCTAGGGTGTAGAGGTAACGGTACAGTTTGAGGGTTTTGGGGGGTTCGGGGATTCTGCACTTCATCGGCCACAAAAATAATGTCGGACGGTTTAGGGTTTAGGGTTTAGGGTTCGTCGATCATCCAAAACTTTGTTTCGTTGCGCCCTCTTAACTTAGCCGCACAGGTTCGGGGGACGGCCGTTGCCGGTGCCGCGGGACGACGAGGCCGTTGCTCCGCAACCTCTCCGCCATGCAGGCCACCTTCTCGGAGCTATAGCGGGGGAGGGGGGGGGTAGGTAGCGAAAACCCCTAAACTCTCAACCCTAAAAGCCTAAACTCTGAAACCTATAAGCCCTGAGGCCTATAAGCCCGAAGCCCTAAGCCCTAAAGTCGGGTTTATGGTTGAGGTCTCATTACCTAGACCTAAAAAACCCTACTTTTTAGGCTCTTTTTTAACCCTATAATATTATGAGTTTTATAGGGACCTAATAAACCTAATACAAAAAATGGGGTTCTGGTAGGTTAAGGTAGCTTCTGCTCCGGTGTTGTTCTTGGGCCTCACCTTCGGCTGCACGCTTCCACAGCGGATCCCAGTGCTTCTTCACACCTCGGCTTACGGTTTTAGGGTTTAGGCTTTAGGGTTTAAGGTTTAGGGGTTTAGGGTTTAGGGTTTAGGTTGGGGTCTTGTGAAGTCTAAAGTGATCGTATCACAGATTTTGTTGTGGCTCTCTTCTATAGTCATCTTCAGGAACCCTTAGGAACGCTATTCCTCATCACGTGAAGTATTTCGAACCCGGAATCCTACACCCTTAAGCACTCTTTACAGAACCTTTCAAAGAATACTCTAGGTAACCCGTAGCCTTATTATAGAATTCTGGAACACGAATTATGGAACACTTTTCAGGATCACGCTAAAGAACCCTCGACCCGAAACCCCAATAGAGGCAACGAAGCGGTTGGACCCCTCAACCCTCAAACTCCTAAACCGCAACACCCTAAACCCCTCAAAAAGCGAGAACCCTCAAACCCTAAATCCTAAACTCCGCAAAAACCCAAGAACCCTAACACCCCAAAACCCCAGACCCCTAAAAACCAAAGAACCCTAATGCCCCAAAACCTAAACCCCTAAAAACCCAAGAACCCTAAAACCCCAAACTAAAGCCTAAAAACGCTCCTCCTCGAACTAAGGCTCTCAAATGGCTCAGATCTGCCTGCCCAAGATCCGGCCGCCTCGGACCAGGGGGGTTTTAAGTCCCCTAATACCAATTAAAACCATAGCTACCCTACTACTTATAAGGCCACTTATAACTACCCATGAACCTCCAAGTAGGATCAGGGAGCTGAACAACAGTGCTAGGAAGATCTCAAAATGTGAAAAGTGGTTCTGCGGCGTAGCATCTTCAAAGTGGACCGTCAATGTTAGGAGTCTTTGAATCCACAGTGCTGAGGCTCTATACAAGTTGTTGGAGATGTAAGGTCTAGAACCTGAGGTCAGCTTGTCAGTTGTCGTTTCTCGATCTGATATGGGGTGCTTCAATGATTAGCCTGATGACTGCTACAATGTAAACATATAGGGGCTGTAAGTGGATAGTTTGATTGAGTCTTTTACTGATTACTCAGATAAACCCTAAACCCTAAACCCTAAACCCCTAAACCCTAAACCCTAAACCCTAAACCCGCCGTATTATCAACTGAGCATGTATGTCGTGGATTCTAGAAAAGTTGCACAGCACTGAGTCCGAAGAAAACTTCCGAGGCGCCTCAGGGAGGCAATTGCATAATATGAGGGGCCTGAATAGATTAGATAGGGTCCCCTTTTAAAGGGGTCTATAAAGGGTTACTATAAGGGACACTAGAAGGGTATAGGGGCCGGAAAAATTTAGAATGGGGTTCCCTTTAAGGGTTCTATTCAAGGGTCCTGCAAGGGATCTATAGTAGGGTATATGATAAGAGGGGCCCTGAATAAGTAGAATAGGGTTTTTGGGGCCCATTCTACTATAAGTCTAATAAGAAATCCCCAAAACAGTACTGTAATCATTTAGGCCCCTATACATCGGGAGGACGAAAGTTTTGACCTACTGGGCCTTTCTTGTCTGAAGGCATCTTGCGGAGTAGCGGAGTAGCGACAAGTGCGATTTACGTGGCCTGGCCAGCGGAGTATTTTATACCCCGTTTTAAAATTATACTACTTTAATGTTCCGGAGGAGTAACCGGTGGGTCCTGTGCGCTAGGAGTCTACGGGGGAATGGGGGCCTGTCTTGGACGAAACAAGGAATAGGTCAAACTTTCGTCCTACCGCAGTATCGGTGGCCTTGACAGTAATTCCTTGTGTCTGTGTTTGGCAACCAGCACAAGCAGACTCGCAGGGTGCTATCGAGCTTTCAGAACCTACCTAGAGGCGTATATACCCTACCCCTCTTTTGGGGGTACCTAGTTTTTTGGTTAGGATCTGCTATATAGAAAAACAGATACCTTCAAAAAAGGGGTTAGGTAGGAGCCTACAGGTGGTGAAGCAACAAGGCGCCACGATCTGAACACTTCCTACCAGGACCCTTCTTGTACCCTCAAATAGGGGTATATGGTCCCTAATATATAATAGGGTATTTTTGGTCTAATAGAGGGTAGAAGGAGGGCCTAGGTACTGTCCTACTCGCAAATCTCGGCAAAGGGTCTTAGTCTAGGGCAGATGCAGGTATGCAAGAGGATTCTGCGCCCGCTCCACTAACCCGGAGACCTCCAAGACCACTCTGCCGCCACATTGCTGGTTCAGTGCTTCTTGATCCACACGCGTTCCGAACACATCTGCCTGGGAGGCGACTTGTTCAACCACTAGGCCATTGAACCCCGGGTCTCAACATCATCAGTGTAACTCAGGGTCAACGTAACCTGGACACAACTATGTCAAAGTCGATAGATGTAAGGATCTGCTATCTCCCACAACAGATTTGAACCTAAACCCCAGACCCTCAACCCAAAACCCTAAACCCCTGAACCCTAGACCCTCAACACCAGAACCATTTAAACCCTAAACTCAGGGAAAGGGTTGCAACCAAGAAGAATCCAACCCAAAGAATATCGCAATGCAGGATCCGTTGCATTTTCAAACTGAACAAGTCTGCAGGGGATAGGCGAAGCACAGCCGCGGTCCTTTTCTGTTTACAATCATGATACCTGTAGTTTCCGAACATCATCATCATCATCATCATCATCCACATCATCATCATCATCATCATCATCATGAAAGCAATACTAGCACCAATCATGATAGCAACAACTGTCATTTGTATTATTATACTTGGTATTATGTTAATGAAAACTGACCGATCTGCTTCCTCTTACTATTCACACTATAGGTAACATCATTTTCGTGACCTTCTCACTAGAATTTCTTTGTTGTTTCGGGTATCGCAGCGGGGCCAGCATGTCGAACAACCATCATGTGCCTTGCTTCTTGCAACTGCACACCCCTAAATTCCTAAACTCAAACCGTGGGGACATGTCGGCAAGTCCATCCAGGATCTACAAACTGCAGGTGTCCTAGCGTTTGAAGCCGCATTCAGGCCTGCAACAAGAACCGTGAGTCCTGAGTTGTAAACCAAAAAGACCGTAAACCCTGGGCATAAAGCCCTAAACCCCGAATGGGGATTTAGGCTACCCTAAACCCTCAACCCCAAATACAATTTCAGCCCCTAGCTCTTGAAGAAAGGTCCCAAGCTGTGAACCATCAAAGCCCCTAGTCCATAGACAGAATTTAGGGTTTAGGACTTGGGGTTGAAAGTTTAGGGAGAAGTTTTGCCAGGGTGCCCAGCTCTGACAGCTACGGAGCCACCCCATTTGCTCCTCCAGTCGGGCGAAAGGTTTTCTTTAGGGTTGCTTGGGGTTCTTTGGGTTGCTTTAAGAGTACCTACTGTGTTCTGTAGGGTTTACGCCTTGGAACACTGGGGCTTTAGCGGTTTAGAGCTGTGATCGGTGGTTTACCAAGTTCAAGGCCTGAAGGTTTAGGGTTTAGATGGGTTTTTTTCAGGGTTTGGGCTTCGGGCTAAAGGCAGGGGAGGGCTTGAAAGCTTTCGGCTTTTCGGGCTGACTAAGGGGATTGCGCAGGTGCATTTAGAGACTAGGGCTTCTCCAAGAACACTTTATCCAAAAGGGTTTAGGGTTTAGGGATCAGAGGTTTCAGTGGAGGGTCCATTAATTTAGGGTTCAGGGTTTAAGGTGCTTCGCAAAGCTCCTCCAGGTTCGTGCGCAGACCTGAAGGTAGAGACAAGGCCATAGGGCGCATGGATTTCCGGTGGAAGTTTGTGTGGGGCTTGCACGTTTCAGCAGGCTTCAGCGTTTAGAACTGACTGGTGTTTTTTTTTTGTTTTTTTTTGGGGGGGCGGTCTGCAAGACGGTAGGTTGCAGTAGGATTCGTTGCGGGTCAGCAGAGACTCGGAGTTCAGCAATCTTGGGGGCCTTAATAATTAGAACAGGGTTTTGGGGCCCATGATACTAATAATCAGGAAACCCCAAAATGGTATTGCTAATTATTTAGGTCCCTACATTAGGAGTTGTGACCCTGGAAGGATATTTGCCCAGCCCATGCGAGGGCAGGAACAATGCCACGTCCCAACAAAGCTTCGAAGGCAGGATAACACGACAAACTGGGATGTTTCAAGAGTACAGAAAAAGTAGTTCTGATTAGATGCCGCTATGACAGCAGAAGCGAAAATTGAAATTCTGAGACATCAGAAACTGTCACCCGGCAAAGAAACCTTCGACTGTGCTACCACACAATGTAGGATGAGGCGGTTGCGGG